GGTTTTAAGGAGGTGAATTTGAAATCTTTTGGTCATGCATAAGTAGGGAACATTACCCTAAACTTTCAGCTTTCTAGTTTTTTTCGTTCCCAGGTTAGTAATTTTCACGCCAAAATTTTCACATGCCCGTACGTGAGCCCCAGATGGCCCTTAGGAACTGGGTTTGAAAACTCATGGTCGTGCGTGAGTAGGGAGCATTACCCCAAAGTTTCAACTTCCTAACTTCTCCCATCCCCGAGTTATGAACTTTCCCGCCATAATTTTCACGTGCCCGTACGTAAGTCCTGGGCAGTCCTAGGCAGCTAAATTTGAAATTTTTTTGTCATACACGAGTAGGGAACATTCCTCTACGGTTTCAGCATTCTAGCTTTTCTCGTCCCCGAGTTACCAATTTTCTCGCCAAAACCTTCACGTGCTCGTACGCGGGGCCTAGACGTGCGTGAGAGTTGACACCGCGGTCCTGAAATGGCACTTGGCTGGGGAACACATTGGCAAAATTTCAGCTTCAAAGCTTACGTGGTTGGTGAGTTGAAACATCCGGACAGACGAACACACACACTGACAGGGTCGCTGCAATATGCGTTTTTGCTACTTGTTGCAGCGCTGTAGCGCCGCAACAAGGAAGTTAGCACCAGGACCATCAACAATCACAAGCTGACCATCAGGTGATGCAGTTCCGGTCAAGTCAGCCGTAAAAAGACTGCCAGTTCCACTGATGGTGAAGCAAAAGAAAACAAAGCAACTGACAAAGCAAAAAAGGGCAAAGAAAATGGGCTTCGATGGTTAATCAATGCTTACTTGAACCATGTAATCAACCAGTTCTGCATCCAACTCGTCGCCAATTAACTTGGGACGTCCACGACCTCGTCCTCGCAAGAAACCCGGACTACCAGTACTATGTGCAGGATTCAGCTTCGGCTGTTGGTCTGGAAGCTGAAAGAAAAAAACATTTGCAACGAAGCAGGAATATGCAACATAAAACAGAATCTGGTGGAAAAACAAAAGCCAAGCAAGATTTGCAGGAAAAGTTTTTTATTCAACCCGAAACACCAAATTAGGACAGAACCGAAACACCAAATTAAGAAAAATTTATACTTCTCTTGTGTGCTCACATTATTCTGCTCAAAAAATATTACGAATGCCTTATGTGAAGAATTAATAAGTGCGCTAGGATTGCCGAAATGAAGCTCCAGTGTAACTTATGAGAAGCTTTTCTAGACCTGCACGATCCGTTTGAAATTGTTATGTCATGAGTGCTATCCTTTCCGAGATCGCATGAGTGTTTGCCTCCCTTCTTGAGAGTACAGGTTATTAGCAAGGTACTGCTGCTGCAAAAGATGACCATGAAGAGACTGGATTTTGATAAGTAATGGTTATAAATCTCACTTTAGATGAAATACTTGCACCGGCGGGACATTTTACTGAGCTCGAGACAGCACCATTTTGACAGTCTCCATTGGTGCTGTCTAAATCATCACCCGACGCTGTTCCCGGAGATGCAGCATTTACAGGAGGCATCATTTGTGCTGGAAGCGGATAACCTGAAATATTTTCATCGTCACGTAAAAAGCAGTCATAAAATCCGTGGAAAGATAGATACATAGGAGGCTGTCTTTATACTCCCAAGCACACAATCAGCACATTAATGAGCCAAGTTTCTCAGTTGCCTTTTCCTGTCCTCGAAAGTGCTAGCATGATCCATGAGTGCAAAGAAATATAAGAAATTGAGTTTCAGAAGCAAAAATGAACCCAA